TCCCTCTCTCTCTCCCTCTCTCTCTCTCTCTCTCTCTCATCCTATAGCAAATTTTTAAGAACAATAAGAATAAATGAAATTAAATAAATATTTTTTTAAAAAGAAAAGAAGTGGCTGTACCCACCATGCAGAGAGAGTGGATACACACAGCCCCTTCAGACCACCAGCAAGAGGCAGATTCATGAAAGAAGAAAGGGATGATAGGAGATTGAGAAAAGAGAGAGGTAAGAATGAATGGCCAGAACAGCAAAGCCTTAATAGAGACACCAATAACCTTCATTTATTCACTCATTCAAAAAATACATACTAAGCATCTCTAATGTGAGCCCCTGACAGCACCAAGGAATCATCAACTATGGGCAACAGACTCCATCCCTGCCTTCAAAGACAGTGTGTCACATCACTGCAATACTGATGAAGAGAAAGGAGGGCACAGAGTGAACTGAAAAGGGGGAACAATTAGGACACACACATTTGAGGCACTGGTCTGAATCTTCCTGGCTATAGGACTACCGTGAACTCCCCAGTGACAGGTTGAAAACATTCTATGGTTCATCCAGTTTCTCTCTTTGCTTTGGCTACCAGGGAGCTCAGTACGAGATTCAACACTCAGTTACAGGAATCTTCCTGGAGTTTCCTCTTCTCTGTTTTTTAACTTCTGGTTTGTCACATTCCTGGACTTTGTCTCATATATAACAAAAACCTTCTGAAAGTCTGCAGAATTCAAATAATAAAATAACTTTCCTCCACGGGAAGTGCTAATGACCAAAGTAAAACTCCCACGTGAGAAAAGCTGTTATGTTTAATACATTCTGGCATATCAGCAAGATGATTTCCAGTTGTTATCTTTTATTTGTTTGTTTAATTTTCTAGAAAGCATGTACTCTCACCAGAGAGAGACAGAAAGTGAGAAATCAACCCCCCGAGGCGATGGCCATGCCACAGTCCCTTCTCCTCCATTCTCCCCTTGGGATTTTGGGCATACACGCACACACAACTGGTAAGTTTTTCAAACCATCAGGTCCAGGACTTGAACCATGCAGTCAGCCATATGGAATCCAGCCACCTTAACCACCACACCACCAACTAGCCCCATTTTCCAGTTATTCTTGAGCCAATCATTTTTGCCACGAACACCTCCTAAAATCCTAATGGACTGTGTACTGGCTCAGAATCTCAGATGAGGTCAACCGTCACTGATGATTCACAATGGATCTCCTGGGCAGGGAAAAACTCTCAAATTTGGTCTCCCTGTCCTCTCCCAATTACTAGGGAAGTCACAAAATTGAGACCCAAATGTGACAGTTAATGATAAAGATGAACAAGTCCAGCCCCTTAGCCTAGTGGTTAAGGGGGCCAAATGGTCAACCATGCAGTTTGAATCCCAGCCCCAGCGGTTTGGAAAACATGTCAGGTGCATGTGCATCTGTGCCCCAAATCTCAACATACTGGAGAGACGGAGGAGAAGGGATTGCAGCGTGACAAAGCCCAGCCCCACTGGGGGTGTTTTCTCCCTCTCCTCTCTGTTTCTCTGTCTTTCTGGTGAGTGTGCACACCCATTAGCAAAGTTAAATGTGATAATAGCAATGATGATGATGATGCTAACCATCCCCTCTTGCTGCCCCCTCTCTAACCTCACCTGCAGCCTTCTTCCCTGTGCTCAAATGTGCCCAGCCCACCTCAAGGTTCTTACCCTTGCCTTGCTCTGGATGCTTCTCATCACACAGGCCTCAGGTCCAAGTTCTCCCCAACCATCCACTCTATCGCGGCCCTTCTCCTGTCACCCTCTAGCACATCCCTTTTTATCATTTTCACAGCATGTGCCATCTAAACATCACCTTATTCAGAGGTGTAAGGAGAGAGTGCCCGATATGTCCCAGCACAGCCAAGGTGCTCTGGGTTTCCCTCTGTGCGACCTGGCTGCCAGTGACCCTGTGGCCCTGCACCCCACCGTAGAAACTACTGTCTGCACCGCAGGCAGGATACCTTCGTAGGCCTCCTCTGTGTACTCGGCATTGAGGAACCTGTCCAGGATGTCGTGCTCTTCAGCAAAGGCGAGCAGGACCCGCACAATCTCCTTGGTGTTGGGATTGATGTTTAGCAAGGCCTTCATCAGGCAGGTCTTCCCCGTGTCTGAGGCCGTCAGCTTGTGCATGAGGAAGTCTGCAGACATGAGCAGAGGATGGAGCCTCGGGAGGGTGTGGCAGCTGCAGCCTCAGCCCTCCAGACCCCAGAACATGCCCTCCGCAGGCCTCCCAGACCTCACACCTCCCCACTCTCCTCCTCCATCTCCCCATCTCGGAACATGCCCTGGCAGGCCTCCCAGACCTCACAACTCCCCACTCTCCTCCTCCATCTCCCCATCTCTGCTGTCCCTCCTCCATCTCTTCTGCTGTGTGCTCCTATATCTGAGACCTTTAGTTCTTTGTCCCATGCACCTTCTCCCCGATGGGGGGCAATCTCAGCCACTGAATGGCTTCCCACTTCCCACCTTGGTACTGACACCCTGAAACCTCATGACCCGTCACCTCCCCCTTAAGCTGCCGTGCTCCTGGTCCTCAAGACACCTAGGGCTGTGCCATGCACTGAGCTACCCCAACCCGATGGCACTGCCCTGGACCCCTCCCTCTTCCTCACATCCATGCCAAGTCCTGCCAATGCCACCATCTGAAGATCTCCCCAGAGTTGCTCCCCCTTCCCTAGCCCTGCTGCTTCAGAGTCCTGACTCTGCCTTTACGTTGGCCTTCTCCAGTTTTATCCTCATCCTCCACTTGGTAGGCAGTCAACACCCTTCCCTGATCCTCATTGCCCTCAGAGTCAAGTTCGAAGTCTCTAGCCCAGCATTCAAGGCTCCTCACACTCCAGACCCATGGGATAATGGAGGGAAGATGGACAGCAGAAGCCAAAAAGGGCCTCCAAACCCTGCACCTTCAGCCAGGACCAGGCACTGACCAGACACGTCCAGGCCACGGCGCCGCTTGCAAAGTTCCTGCAGCTCCACCAGCAGCTCCACCAGCTCCTCCACGTAGCCCTCGGACACCGCAGCAAAGATGCGCTTCTTCAGCCGCTTCTTCTTCCGCCTCTGCTCTTCCTTGGCCAGGTTTGCACTGAGGCCAGAAAATACTTCCAGCTCAGCATATGTGCACCCTCGGCCCCGAGTCTCTCTCCTTCCCCCTCCCCCCGGAGCTGCCCTGCCCCACCCCCCCCCGATGTTTTGTGGGCCTGTCACAATGCCTGCAGTCCCGGCAATAGTGCTCTGGGCCCAGGCTCTGTCAGGTTCCCCTTCTCATCCATGTGTGGCCACGTTGCACTGGAATATATATGTGGACACTCGTAGTAATGATCTGGAACAATCTAGAATAAATGCCTAACTACCGATAGTGATGACCTCACAAATTCGGGATTAAGGGAAGGGAAATTTTACTTTTGTGTTTTTTGCTGTCCCAATTTTTTTTCATCTCTCCTCCCCTACCCCCACACTCTGGATGGGCAGCCATGGCAGCCCAGCCACAGTGGCCCAAGCAGCAGGGCACAGTGGTGGAACCACATGGGAGGCCTAGGTCCAGATCCCAGGCACGTCCATGCAGCCCTGTGATCCTAGCTGTATGGGAGGCTGGGGGGGAGAATCATGACATAGCACGACTGTCAGGGGTACCTGTCTCTCTGTCTCTGTCTCTCTGTCTCTCTCTGGAGAAATAAAAATTCAGAAAACAAAAACAAACACAGGTCAGACAGTGGAACAGCAGTATAATGTGACACACTGCAAGGCTGGCCCACAGAGGAAGGTTCCAGGTTTCTGATCAGAGGCCTCCCTAAGTACACCGGGCACACATGTGCCCATGAATCTGTGGCTGGCTGGGGCTGGGGTGGGTCATGGCATGAAAACCCTGTTGGGGTTTTATTTCTCTCTTTTTCTCTGAAGAAGTAAATAAATGAACTTTCTTAAAAAATAAATAAACAGGAGCCAGGAGGTGGTGTGGTAGTTAAGGTGCTAGACTCCCACATGGCCCATCATGGTTTAAGTTCCAGAACCGACAGCTTGCGATCTCTCTCTCTCTCTCTCTCTCTCTCTCTCTCTCTCTCTCGATCTCATGCCCTACTGCAAATTTTAAAATAATAATTAATAAAATTAAATAAATAATTTTTAAATAAATTAACAAAAACAAACAGGTCACCATGGTAATGCATTGAGGTCTCCCTTTGTACGTGATCTTATGAAATGCATGGTGATGCCGTGCATGCATGTATTTTTAATTTACATATGTGGTACTGTGCTAAAGTGCTCATTTTTCGGCAAACTGCACTGTTATTTAAGTGAATTGTAATGAATGAGTATTATTTTATGATTTATAAAATTTGATACACCACTCCCCACCACACACACACACACACACACACACACACAAATGTTCTGTGCACCACAGCCATGGGCCCAGACCTCCGGTCATTTGTCTCTACGCCCCTAGGAATGGAGGCTTCTGTCCCTCGGACACCATCCCTTGATGGGCACGTAGAAGGTGGAAGAGCCAGACCTACCTTGGGCTATTGGGATTGGATGGGGTCTCTGTCACGTCATCCTGAGGAGACTGAGGGGAGTCCATGTCATCACAGTTGCCAGAGACGCTGAAGGCATGGGGGAGGGCAGGGGAGGGACAGACTTAAAACTGGGCACTAAGAGCATGCCACAGCCAGGCCAGGCCATATGGCCCAGGACACCTCACTGTCCATCTGCCAGAGTTGAGGGATGGGCCTGGGGCCAGTACTCACCACTGCCGGATGTTGGAGTCCATGGGCTTGGAGAAGACGGGGGGAGAGGTCTTGGCGACGGTGGGATTGGGCTCGAATCCTTCTATCTCCAGGAAGAAGTGTGCACTGAGGGGAAACCCAAGCAAGGCCATTAGAGCCGGGGCAGAGACCCACCTGCAGCAGCACACGCTGGATGCTGCTACTCCGCAGGCTGGGGCCACATGGCAAGCCTGGGTTCGCTTCCCAGCCTACCGTCAAAGCTAGGCACAGTGACATGTGCCTCCGTCCCAGTCATTCAGGAGGCTGAGGTGGGACGATGGTGGCCCAGCAAGACCCTGCCTACAACACCCCCCCACAAACGCGCACATACACCTGTGCCCAGCATCCCAGCCATGGAGGGTGCCCACCCCACTGCGCACCCACTCTTGGCCAGCTTTGTGTCCACTCGGTCTCACCCAGCACTCACGCGGCCCTTGAGGATGGGTCCTGCCTTTATCACCCTCATTTCACAGATGAGCAATGGCTGACTCGGGTAAACAACTTGTCTGAGGTCACACAGCAGGTGGGTGGCAGAGCCTGGATTCAAAGTTCGGTCTGGGTAACTGCATAGCTGGGAATTCTGGATGATGAACCCAAGAATCCCTCCTGAGGGTGACCTAACATCTGAGTGGGATTTCCCTGCCTGCAGCTGCTCCTAGGACTCATCAAAAATGGGGAACATGGCAACAGGGGCTGGGTTCCTCCAATGCCACCCAACTGCCCCTCAGGCCTCACACTTGATGTGAGGTCCTTCTGAGAGGTCTCTAGACTCTGAGATCCCCAAGGTCCTTCCTGATTCCCGAGGGGGAGGAAAGGACCTCAGCTACACCAGCTGCTCTGGCACTGCCCACCCCACACAGCTGCCTCTAGCCACGCTTGTGCTGTTTGTCTCAACAGAAAACAGGCTGGGAATGGCCAACCCAGAACAGGGAGGACCGCAGGCGGTGGGGAGGGAGTGAAGAACGGGATAGAGAACCCCTCAGTAAGAAGGAAAATCTATGGGGCTAGACAACAGTATACACAAAGCTCTGTGAAGCTGACACACGTCGCCCAAGTCCAGAGACCTCCCTGAGAACACTGGGCACGCGCATGACGCAATCTGGGGCTGGCTGAGACTGGAGTGGGCCACATCAGGGCCTTTTTGGTGGTTCTCTCTCTTTCTCTTCTCTCTCTAGAAAACTAAATAAATAAGCTTAAAAAAAAATTTTTAAAGAGGCCAGCCCCTCAGCACAGTGGTTAAGCTCTAGTTCATAGGGAGCCAGATCTCACATGACTGACAGGGTTAGAGTCCCAGCCCTGGCGTCTTGAAAACCCTATGAGTGAGTGCATGCCCAAATCATAATGGGATGGAGAAATAGAAGAAAGAGATTGCGGCGTGACCATACATTGGGAGGTTCTCTCTCTCTCTCTCTCTCTCTCTCTCTCTCTCTCTCTCTCTTTCCTGATGACTGCCTATGCCCTCTGGCAATTAAAGAAAAAATAAAAAACATTACATTAAAAAGGAAGAAGGGAAAACTAAGAAACCACTCTGGGCAATGGGCAGGGAGATGGGGGACAGAACCAGCTTCCTCCTTGGGCTGGGAGAAGAGAAGCAGGAGCCTCAGGCCCTGGGACCTGCCTGAGCCCCAGAGAAAGAGAGACTCTGCCTCATGAGAAGCAAGACTTGCCACAAGCCAAGACGTGACTCTGGCAGACACAGCCCTGCCCTGGTTCAGACACACCCACAAACACAAATGCGCATGTCCTCAGAAATCACAATCACACTCCAAGATGTACATTCTGGGGACAAGTAGGGTGCTGAGGATCAGGCCAAGAGTGGCCCCTGTGGCAGCAAAGCCCCCACCCCGCAGCTGCTGCAGCACAACTGCCAGTTCTGTGACCCAGCCAGGGACCACGCCTCCTGACCATGAGGGCCACCTCCATGTGCACAGGAGGAGGCCTCCCTACGCACCCCTGCTGCCTGCTTCTCTTCGGGCCCAGAGCACCAATATGGCCCCTGGATTCTTCACAAAGCCACAAAGAGGTCCCAAGTGCAGTCTCAGTCACATCAAGTTCAGGGAGAGGGGACAACAGGGAAGAGATTGTAGCCCCATTCTACAACTGAGGGAGCTGAGCTCAGTATGGAGAAGCAGCTCATTCACGCTCGTCACCCAGAGCAGAGGCCAAGCAGGTCTGAGAGCCTGAATCCTGCTGTCCAGGCTCACCGTTCAACACCCTCGCATAGCTCTGCTCCCCTCTTGGCTCTGGGCCTGCTTCCAGCTTCCCCCTCCAGGGGCGGCTGCTGGGGGAGGCGCCTGCCTGACTGCCTGATCATGCCACTTCCCAGGGTGGGGCAGGAAGGAGAGAGGCCTGGGACTGGCCTGAGGAATTCTCCTCTTCTCTAAGCACAGTCAAGCCTGGAAGGCTCAGAATGAACCGGAAATGGGGTGGAGAGCATCATTGGCTGATATGCTGGCCCGCACTCTGCTGTCCATTAAGAGACGCTTTCTGGGGGTCAGTGAGTGGCATGGTGGTTAAGGCACTGGATTCCCAGGTGGCCAAGTGTGGTTCAAATCCCAGACCTGGCTTGAAAACCAGGCATGTGCGTGTGTGTGCCCAAAATCCCAAGAGGAGAATGGAGAAGAAGGGATTGCAGCATCGCCATCACCCCTGGGGGGGTGTGATTTCTCACTTTTTCACTCACTGTCTCTGTGTCTCCACTCTGGTGAGCACATACGTCTTACAGCCTAAACCTTAGGGGGAAAAATAATAAAAACAGAGAGAGAGAGAGAGGTACCTTCTGACCTGACTTAAAATTAAATCTTTTTTCCAAAAGAGAAGACAAAAGAAAGAATGAACCCTTAGCTGGGAACACGAAGCCTGGGTTCTAGTCCAACTCTGTCTGTCTCTTGTGTGACTCTAGGTGTCATTTACCTTCTTTGGAGCAAATGTCTTCACCTGAAAGGAGTATAGTTGGGCCAGATGACCCCTAAGGTCCATATTTTGGAGCCAGTGAAGCTCCAGAATCATCCATTCATGGACTGCCCAGTGAAGTGGGTATCACAGTCTGTCAGTCTGCTTCTACTCCTCTGCACCCCTGCAGTGCTCAAGAACTGCTGCCCGAGCTGTCTCCGCTCGACTATGGCAGTCTGATCCAGGGCTCCAAGCATGTGTGCTGGCAGCCCAGCTCCAAAACATCCTAGTTGAGATTCACCAAATTCTCAGCTTTATGCCCAAGGCAGTTGGTCCAGTCCCCTGGTCCCCACCCCACCCTGCCTGTCTAAGTTTTTCAGTGGTGCATTTACTCAGCAAATACTTACTGAGCACTTCCAGCGTGCTGGACATGCTCCTGGAGCTGGGGATACAATGATGAACAAGTAGACAGCATTCCCTCCTCTCCCAGAGCTGTTGTTCCAGTGGGTTAGTGAGAACTGCCCCAAGAGTCACACCTGGACACAGTGCAGTGAGGCCATGGCTTTCCTCACTCTGGACAACACACCATCCCTCAGTTGTGCATTCCTCAATGGCAAGGACTCCAATTGTATCACCCTTGATTCCCCAGAGTTACCCTTGATAGCCCAGCACTGGTTCTGGCACTCAGAAGACCTCCCTTGAGTGCATGAGTGGGAGGACGGGTGAGGAGTGAAAGATAAATGAGTGGAAGGAAGAAAGGCTAGTCAGACAGATGGACAGAAGAGTGGATGAGTGAATAATGGAGCGGCGATAGCATGAAAGTCATGCTCAGGTGCTCTGAGCTGGCCATGATGAAATGATGGATGGACAAATGGGTTGGTTGATGAATGGAGGAATAGATGACGGATGGCAGATGGATGGCCAGTGAGTAGGAGGCTGAGTAGATAGGGTAGGTAGATGGAGAGCTCCGTGGACAGGACCAAGGAGCAGATACACCAGAACAACCTTAGACTATGCATGTTGCCAGGCAGTGGCAAGTTGGGTGGCTCCCAGTGGCTCTCAGCTGCCCAGAGCTCTCGCCTCTCCTAAACCCCCTGTTCTTCCCAGTCTTGCACAAGAAGCTGAGGGAAAGTCCTTTGGCTCTCCTCCACCTTCTCAGAGCCTCCTCCCAGAGCCCACGGGGCCTCAGGATGGTCCAGGAAGCCAGACCATGAGAACATCTGCCAAGGCAGGGGCCCGAGGGGGGGCAAGTGTTGCCTCATCGTCCCGTGCAGTGTCCTTACTCGTGCCGAGGGGCTGTGCTGAGCCGCCTGCTGCTGACTCATCAAAGCACCCACTCCTTCTCTGCTTTTCTTGCCTGCTCCTTCATTGACTCACCTACTTACTCAAAAACTACTCATCTGCTCCGTATAGGAAACTTGGGGGGGGCGGGGAGGGCACACACAACTCGCCCAGGGTCCCTGTCGCAGAGATGTCCAGCAGAGCTCAGACGTCATCCACCTCTTTGGAGACAAGCTGGGATACGGGAGCTCAAAGGCAAGGCAACTCCTTCCGGTTGAGGACAAGGCTCAGGAAAGACTGACTGGGATTCTCTTGGGATGGGATTTGGTCTGCATCGTGAAGGGGATCTGCTATTTGGGAAAAACCTTAGAGGCAGAGAGGGCGGCATGACAAAGCCTTCTTACAGGAAGAAGGCTAGGACTACACCTGGGGATGGAAGTGTTCCTCAGTGGCCGAGCACAGGGTGTGGAGAGGAGGGTAGTGACAGCCAAGCTGGGAGGCCCCAACTGTTGGGCAAGGACCTGACTCCTGGGGCAGGGCAGCCGCTGGACGATCCGGGCCCATCCCGTGCCTGCCCTGTTTGCCACTGCACACGCTGCATCCCACCCACCACGGTGAGCACATGGCGAGGTCTCAGCCACATGACCTCCTGGCTCCTGACCTACCCAGATGCTGTTCGTTCACTCCTACCTTGGGCCCAGACCAAAGGACACCCCCTGGGCCTGGTTACCTCAGGTGAGCAGACAGCATGACATCTCCCCACACCCCTGCCCCTTTGAAGGTAAAGAACAACTCCTGAACTAGGAAGAACAACTCCCAGGGCTAGGAAGGAGGCTGCCGGCCACCTGCTCTGTCCCGACGTACTCAGGTGCTCCGAGCTCTGCAAGACCAGCTACTCCACAGCCGTCATCTTCCTGGTCTCTGCCCCTGGGCACAACCTGGCCCAAGGCCCAGCAAGGAGGCCACAGTGGCAGCCTCTTACAGGGAAGGGCATGATGGTTCAGAAAAAGTTTCCAGGTCCAAAAATCTCTCCCACCTCCAGATTTCTTGATGCCGTCCACTCCGTCCTTAGTCCATGTCCTGAGTGGTCAGTACTGTCCTCTTTCTTTATAGATATCTTTTTTTTTTCTGTTCTTTCCTTTTTCTCTCTAGACTCAAGTCCCATCCTGTTCTGAGGGAGATGTCCACACCTCACACCAGGGCTGTAGGCTGGGCCAGGTCTCCTGGTGGCAGAACCGAGCCTGGAGCTCAGAGCACGAGTGGGTTGGGCTCAGAGAAGTCAGCCTGACAGGTCCTGCCGAGGGCAGACAGGATGTTCCTGAAACCCTGCCCTTCATCCTCCGAGGTCCAGACCTCCTCTGACAGAGAGAAGAAGGGGAAGGAGGAGGAGAGCTACGGAGACTTAGCTCAGGGATGTCCCTGCTCTTACCTGGACAAGCCCACTAGACCCCAGCTGCCCCCACAGTCCAGCGACACCTGTCTGAGTCTGGCCTCTCCCCAGTTTTCTCTCTTGTGTTCCGGGACACAGCTTTGGCCTCGATGTCCCTCGGGTGCCTCTTACCCCATATTCCACACCCGAACTTGGCTCGTTCTTCCTGACCTTGGTCCTTCTCTGATGTGCTCGTCAGAGATGGCACCATCATCCCTCCAGATCCCCCCACCAGAAAAAAGGAGTGTCTCTTGGCCCCTCTGTTTTCCCTCCCAGCGTTAATCCTGCAGGCCCCCTGAGATGTGCTCTCTGACTCACGGCAACACCAGTTCCCGGGCTCCCCAGCGGCGTCCTCGTGCTCTCCCAGCCCCTGGTCTCCAATCCATCTTCTACACTGATGGCCCAGAGTAATCTTTCTAAATTACTAACATTACCATGCTCTCTCTTCCACACAAAATCCTTCCATGGCTCTCCAGTGCCTTCAGGACTGTCCAAATTTCTGACCCCCAAGACCAGGCCCTAATGAGACTCACCTCCCAAGACTCCTCCCCCCACCCAACAAGGCAGCTGCACTGAATTCCTCACTAGTCCCAACCTGAACCTCTGCTCTCAGGTCCCTCTGCCTGGCATGCCCTTTCCCTTCCTTTCCACCTAATAATATCCGCTCTAACATCACCTCCTCCAGGAAGCACCTGAGACTGCCCACAGGCTCAGAATGACCCACCCCACCTAGGTCACCTTCTCTCCAGGCACTCCCTGCATTTTCCTTGATGTCCTTGTCACCAGACTGTGAGCAGGGGTAGGAATTCTTTCTCCTTGTGTTCTGGTCTCCCCACCCGTACCTAGCACATAGTACACCTTGGTGACTATGACGCAAACCAGCAGACAGAAGGGAAGCACCAAGCTCACTTCTGCCCAAGACAGGGCAGGGGGCATAGCAGATGGTTCAAGCCAGCCCAGGGGCCCCCAGGTCCAAGGGGAGCACAGTTGGGAAGATGGGAGGGGCATTCAGGTTTGAGGAGCATCAAGTCAGGGGAGAGGAGGGGGAGCTGCCAAGGAGCCAGCTCTGGGATAGAAGGTGGGACATCAGACCCTCTGCTCCCAGCAGGCTCCATGTCCCAGGTTGGGGACAGAGCTAAGCATCACAGCCCTGCCAGCTTGCAGGGGCCCTGCATAATGACAATGACAACGACGACAGCAAAGGTAACAAAAACACAAGCACCTAGCACGTGCCGGGCATCATGTCAGGCACTTGGTTGACCTGATCCCAGTTAACCATCATTCTCTGAGCTGGTGCCATTGCTGGCGTCCTCCTTACCCAGGTGGGGCCAGAGATCCTGAGTAACCTGGTCGGGTACACGGTAGATGTGAAAGACATTGGTGTGTGGACGATGTCGGCAGTGGGGTGCAGGCTGCCTGGAATCTCCACCTTTCCACTCCCCATCTCAACGGACAGGGAGCATGGCTTCGGCAACCCCTCAGCTCCTCCCAGAGCCTTCCTGCCCCCACCCAGGGAGGCCACTCTAACTGTGCCAGTCACACTGACCATCCCAGTTCATCCCCCAGGGTGGGCAGTGACGTCTGCCACCATCCCCCAGTTATACCCAGGTGGGCATCAGCCACCCCAGACGAGGCTCAGAGCTTCAGGTTCACTGGAGGACACGGCTCCCTGCGAGACCCTCACGGCAAGACTCCAGCCCTGAGCCTGCTAATCATACCTCTTCTTGGTGGGTGTGACCTCCGCTGGCCTCTTCTCTGGCAGAACTGCAGGGTTCCCACTGGGAATGGCTCCTCTTCTGCCCATAAGGGGCACCATCTCTTTGGGGTGGGCATTCATGGCTGAAACACAAGCAGATTCAGGAGACGCCAGGGACTTCAGAGAGCTTCGGGCCCTCTGTGGCCCCACCTGGCCCCACCCACACCTGCTGGCACAGGAAAGCTCTCTTCCCACTCTCCCAGGCCACCCACCCATCTCCAAGACAGGCAGGGCGTTTTCGCAGCTCCCCCTGCTCCCTGCTCCAGCACCCCTGCTCCTGTGGCCCTAGGAGAGCCCAGCAGAGTGTCCAGGTAGAGCCCACCAAGCCCCCACTCACTTAAGACCGCAGCCCACAGTCTCCAGTGACTCCCTGAGAACTAGCCCTACTCTCTCTACATCCCGCTTAGACATGTGTTCAGTGTTATTCTTAAAGAAGGTTGACCTCAAACGAGCAAGCTCGTCACCTCCTTCCCTCTAACAACACAGCTGTGGGCTTGTCTGGTGTTTCGGATTTCTCAGTGCCCAGGTGGTGACCACGGCTAACACAATGGTCATCTCTCTCACCCACCCAAAGCTGAGCACAGCCAGCCTCGTGGCTGTCTGTCCATGGCCTTCCTTCTTACCTGGAAGAAGTAGCTAAGTCCCCTTCCCTGGACACCCCCCACCAGGCGGAGAGGCAGCATCTCGGTCCAGACCTGCTTTACTGATGCTCGGTATGGGCTGGGCTCCATGCTGAGCACTCTGGGAAGACACACTGATATGCCTTAGAAAGCGACTAGGGAAGGCCTCTTGGAGAGACCTTAAAGGCTGCTGTGTGGAGGGAAGGTGATCAGGGTAGAAGGGACAGCCTGGGAAAAAAACTGGGAGTCGATAAATTCCATGGATGGCGAGGAGCCGATGCTGCTGGAGAACCTGGGAGGCTCATGGGAGCCCTAGCAGCAAAAGGCTTGGGAGCAGCCTGGGCCATATCATTGGCCTCGAACACCGCCTAGGAGCTGGGGCTGGTCTGGGGGCAGCAGAGCTTGGAGGGGCTTCAGGTTACAGAGGAGATGGCCACCTGAGGGACAGAGGCCGCTGGAGAATGGGGGAAACTAGGGGCCAGGGGGCCAGGAGGGGTGGTTCAGGGGGCCTAGCCATATAGGATGTGCTAGGCAGGGGAAGCATTACATGGAGGGGTAGTTCTGTGGTTAAGGGGGGGCAATCTCAGCTTAAGTCACCCTCGAAGAACTCAGAGACACAGAGGTGGAGGTAGCGGATGGATTCCTAAAAGAACCCAGCCAAGTAGGATGGAACTTGAGGCCATTGGTAATCCTGCCTCAAAAAGGAAGGCTTCCTGGAGGAAGTGTGCAGAACAGGTTGTCATTGGACTGGAGTGAGGTTTGGGAATGAGACAGCCTCCACCCTCACTAAAAGCGAGCAGGTTTAGGGGAGTCATCCAAGGAGTGTGGCACCCTGAGGCTGGGAGCTTTAGGGAGGAGCCTGAAGGCCTGATGGATGGGGCAACCCACCAAAAGGGAGCTGCGGGCAGGTAGACCCTAGCTCACCTCCAGAAACACCTCATGGGTATGGAGTGGCCTTTATCGCCTTCCCCAGCCCAAAGAGATGCCTGGTGGAGCTAAAAGGCTGGCCCAAGAGTTATGGAGAGGGATGGAGGCGTGTCTCCTCCCCCTCCTTGGACTTCCTTTCTGAGAAGCGCACTGAATGGCCCCTGAGGGCCCTGTGGCCCTGACCATGGCAGCTGGTTGCTCCATTCTGGCCGCCCTGGGCCCATGAGAGTGGGCTGTTCCAGGCAGCAGGGGCAGGAAAGGGTCAGGATAGCTGGGGCTGCTGCAGCTATAATTAGCTCCCTGAGTCAGCCAGTAAACCCTGCATTCTCACCTGCTGGACTCTCTTACTGTCCTGGCTCTGTCTCTCTCTGGGAAGTGGGAGGCGATGCTCCCCAACTCCGGCACAGATGGAAATGACCTTTCCTGGGAGCAGACCTGGGCCACAGAGAGGCCCCATGATCGCTGGCTCAGCGCCTCTGAAGTCCCCTGACCTGTCGCTGTCCAGCTCTGGGGCGACCTCCTCCCATCCCAAACCCCCATCAAGCTCCTGCCCTGAAGAGCCACATCCATGGTCCTGCCCCTCAGCAGCCTGAGACATTCCGCCTCTCCTTCTCTAAGATTCCAACCTCAGGCCGAGATCCCGGGTCTATCAGGACCTGTGTTCTCATACCCCCTTCAGCCCAGAGCTCTGGGCTATGTCTCCCCTGCTAGAGACCCAAGCTCCCTCCCAACTCTTCCCCAAAGCCTATCGACCCTGAGGACTCCTCAGGGCCACACTCTGGGGTCCCCAGCAGCCTTGGAAGGCACTGGCTGCCATGTGCAGGGAGGACTCACCTGGGCACCGGACCCGTGGCGGTAGACCTTGCTCTGTGATCACCGCATGCCTGGGGCCCAAGGCCCCCCGATGGGACTGTGGCTGAGACGGCAGGAGGCTCTCATGGCAGACAGAGGGATGGCTGGAATGAGGCATCGGAGGCAGAACTGGCTGGGCCACCTGCCTTGGGCGCCAGGCAAGCCACGCCCACCAGCCACAGCTGCAGCGCCAGCCACCCACGTGCCCTGGCGTGAATCAGCCCCACGCCCACACAGCAGCCTCAGCCTGGCTGGGGAAAAGGCAGGGCAGGCAGCAGGTGTCCCTACTCGGCCCTCTGTTGTATGTGATGTTCCAAAGGTACTTCTCTCCCCTCACAGGCCTGAGTTTCTCCATCTGGGAAGTGGAAATCATAATACCTACTTCCTAAGGATGTTGTGAGGGGGTCGAAGGGATCATGAAGATGGGAGGGCCTGACACCTCGGAAGGAAGGCCACAGCTAAGAACTGGCCTCGTAGAGCAAAAGGCAGTGTCTCCCAAAACCAGGCACCTGTCCTTCAAAGTCTCCCTGAAATCAGGTCATTTAGAGACAGAAGAAGTCCCATTCGATGTTCCCCATCAGTCATCACATATTATGACCTCAGAGTCAGCTTCACCCTTTCCCGGCTATATGACCTTGACTAAGTTATTTCTCCCAAGCCTTGGCTTCCTCATCTGTGAGATGCACCGTGGGGCTTAAATGAGAGAGTAAATCGAAAGGGCTAGTACGAGGCTCTGGGAACAGAAAGAATGCAGTAAACTATGTCAGCTATTACCGTGATTGTTTTTGTCATAGCTATTTATCCTCCCAGCAACTGCCCGGGCCACTTCTCTCCAAGGCCAGAGCATCGCAGGAAAATTCTGTGCCCTCCCTCCTGGCCCAGGCCACTGCTGTGAAGGGGGTGGAGCTAGGCTGGGGCGGCCTTGCCAGCCTCCACGTCACTCCAGACCTGCACACCTGCTCCCTTGGGCATGACACAGACAAGCTAGGACCAGGACAGAGCAGGAAGTCTGCCAACTGGGACGGTGCTGGCGCCTGATGCAGCAGGGACTTCCCCAAGTGCCATCAAGAGGCAATCTCCTTGATCCCTGTCGACCTACCAGGCGTGGGGAGCAGGCAGGAAGCAAGGCCAGGCTTCTAGGCCAGGGTTACATCAGGATCTGTAGCCAAAATAGGGCAGAACAAGGGGTTGTTTTTAGCCCCCATTTCTCTAAATTGTTATTATACTAAATTGACAAATAATTGTACATAGTTACGAGGTACCATGTGGCATTTTGATACCTGTAGATAATGCATAATTGTGCAATCAGAGTAAGTACGTCTCTCACCTCAAGGATGTATTGTTTCTTTGTATCGGGAACATTCCAAAATCTCTCTTCCAGCTTTTCTGAAATATATGATAGATCACTGTAATATAGAGTCATCTGACAGCGTTACTGAACTCTAGAACATCTTCCTCCTGTCTAGCTCTGGTCTTTATCTGCAACGAAACACTTACAATTCCACCCCCCGCTCCTCTCTTTCCAGCGTCTAGTAACCACGATTCTACTCTCCAGTTCGGGGTCTTTTGAACCAGCTCCCACCTAATCTTGGCTGCCGTGCAGGTAGCCTTCAGCACTCATTGCCAGCTACGAATGCCTGGGAGCCTGCAGGGGTTAGCAGGCTGCCCCTCACTGCCTGGCTTCTTGTTCTTTGCAACAGCCACGAGGCATGCTGTGCCCCCTGTCCCTCAGTGACCTCAGATTCTCCACTTTTTTAGTTCTTTTCGATTTACCATAGGGTGCATGTGCTCATCAGAGAGAGACAGAGGGATAGAGAAAGTGAGAAAGCGCCCCCAGCAGGCATGGCCATGCCCCAATCCCTTCTCCTCCATTCCTCTCTTTGGATTTTGCCATGCATGCACATGTGCTAGGCATGTGTTTGAAGCTGCTGAGGCTGACACTCGAACAGCACAGTAAGTCATGGGAGATCTAGCTCCTCAGATCACCACGCCATTAGCTGGTATCGAGAGTCTTTCTGCCAGTGGATGGAGCACGCAGGTCCTAAAGAGCAACAGTTTTCAGAGAAGGGAGAACCTTTTAAATGGGCTGTGTAGAGGACAAGCAGGGGAAAAGGGGTGGGACCTGGGCTGGGATGCAGGCAGGGAAAGGGAAAGGGCAGCCTCTGGATTCTCCTTTCCCAGTCTGACTCCCCTGACTCCTACATTTCAGGCAGTCCCCACACAGCTGCCCAGATCCCCCACATGTGGCTCCATCCTACCAGACTGAGGTCTCAGCAGAAGTTCAGTGAGCAACATCCGTCCACATGATGCCGAGGCCATCCCCTGCCTCCTGTAAAAGGCTCTCAAAGGACAATCCACCAGGTGGGCATTGGGCACATCCTCTCCACCCCCTGCACCTCCCAAGCCTGCAGACATCAGCCGAGGCAACAGGCCCAGAAATTCTGCACCCTTAGAAGGAAGAGGAAGAAAAGGTGTCTCCATGGGGCAGGGACAGGAAGGGAGGGGTGGACTTCTTCACAACACTCTAGGAAACCCCCACTTGGTGGAGAGGAAGGAAGCGGATGTCAGGGAGAACCCCATTACCAGCGTCCCTGGGCCTGAAGTAAAGACCCATCTGTCCTGGCAGGCCAGAGCTGTCCCTGGCCAGGGAAACTGAGCAGCAGGCCCAAGGGGGTCCTGGTTTGTGGCTCTTCCTGCTTCCAGGTCATGGAAAGAAGGACATGGAGGCAGAGACAAAGAGACAGCAACCAACCCCCTTGAAAATTGCAAGAGAGTAGATTTTAAGTGTTCGAACTATACATGCACACACACACACACACACACAATCGTAAGTATGTGAGGTCATGCATATATTAAATAGCTCAACTTGGCCACTTCACAACATCTACCTATAGCAAAACATCATGGCAGACACAATTGTACATATACACAATTTGTACTTGTCAAAAAAATGCTTAAACATACACATATGTCAACAATAACGTCATGTAAAGCAAACATTTTGTTTTGTTTCATTTCATTCCCATTTTTATCATTTTGCTTTATGAGAATACTAGCAAAGGAAAGAAACAGAAAAGTGAAAAAGAATATAACCTAACAAAAATATAACATACTAAGGTATAAATATATACAACATATGGGTCAATGCAATTAAGAAATTAAATGAAAAGACTAAAGGAAAATAAACAGAGAGAAACAGCAACAGGAGAAAAAGGGGGGGGGGTAAGAAGAAGAAAAGACCACTACATACCTCTCGGAACGGCCAAAATCAACAAGACTGACAACACCAAATGTTGACAAGGATGGGGAGCAATAGGAACTCACTCCCTGCTGATGAGAATTCAAAATGGGACAGCCACTTTGAAAGAAAGTCTGGTATTTACTCAAAAGAGCTGGAAACTATGTCCACATGAAAAACTGCATGTGGGTGTTTATTGCAGCTCTGTTCATAATTACCAAAGCTTGGAGATTCCAGAGATGACCCTCAGTAGGTGAATGAATGGGTGGTAAGCTAGAGGATGAAATATCATTCTGCAAGAAAAAGAAATGAGCTCTCATGCAGTGCAAAGAAATAGAAAAAAGTTCAATGCACATTACCAAGTGAAGCAAATCTATCTGAAGGGGCTACAAAAGGAGACAGCAGGAAGATCAGTGGTTGCCAGAGGTTGGAGGAAGGAGAGACAAATAGGCACAGCATGGAGGTTTTTATTTTCTTTTTTTTTTTTTTTTTTTTTTTTGGAGAGATTTTTCACTGTAGGGTGCGTGCGCTCGCCAGACAGACAGAGAGAGACATAGAGACAGAAAGCGAGAAATCACCCCCCAGGGGGGATGGTCACGCCACAATCCCTTCTCCTCCATTCTCCTCTCGGGATCTTGGGCACGCACGCACACGCGCCCGGCGTGAGTTTTAAGCCACCGGGTCTGGGACACGAACCGCGGTCGACTACGTGGGAGTCCAGCGACATAGCCATTACGCTAACTGCTGGTTCCCAGCATGGAGGTTTTTAGGGCAGTGGAATAACTCCTTGTGATATTGTGCTAGTAGATGGAACACACAGTCGTTATATTTTTGTCAATGTCGAAAGAGCATCCGTCCCCAGAGTGACCCTCAATGGACTTGGGATGATAATGTTGTGTCGATATAAGTTGATCAATTGTAACTGCAGCAGGGTGTCAGCAGCTGGGGAGGCTGTGGGTGTGGGGTCAGGGAGTAGATGGGAACTCTCTGTATGCTTTGCTCAGTTTTGCTATGAACATAATACTGCTCTAAAGATAAGGCTTACTAAGTTTAAAAAACAAAGAAAAGGAATAGGCCAGTTGCACTTTCTTTAAATAACCAATAAAAGAACATCTACAGGAGCCAGCCCTGTAGTGCCGCGGTTAAGTGCTGTGCATGAAAAGTTGGATCCCACGTGGCCAAAAGCAATTTGAATCCTGACCCCTTGGCTTGGAAAACACACAGGGTTGTGTGTGTGTGTGTGTGTGTGTGTGTGTGTGTGTGAATGCCCAAAATCCTGATGGGAAAGAGAAATGGAGGGTGTTTTCTCTGTGTCTCTGTGTCTGTACCTCTTTCTTGCTCTCTCTCCCCTCTCTCTTTAATATGCACATTTACCAACTGGCAATTAAAAAAAAAAAAAAAAGAACATCCACAGGATTCCAGCTCTGTGTAAGTTCAAAAGTTGATCTGGTTGGCAGAAATTTGCAGGTGTCTGACACCCACATGTTTTCTAGGAAGGCCTAAAGGCAAAGCATGGGAGTTCCAAGTCCACAACAGGAAGCAAGAGGCTGTCACATCTCCCTCTGACCCAGGCATAGGCTGTCGTGCCCCAGCCCGTTCTCTGCCAGGTGGCCTGACACAGCAGTTAAGAACGGGCTTTGGCGTCAAACTCCCTGGGGTCAGATGCAGGTAATGCTGTTTACTAGCTGTGTGATCTTACTAACTGTCGGAGCCTCAATTTTCTGATCTATAAAATGGAACTAATAATAGCTTCTTCCTGAGCTGTTAGGAGGCCTAAAGGATAATGCATACCGAGTTCCCTCACAGACACCACCATGCTGGCCATCACTATTCCTCCTCCGTGCTCACTCACAGGGCTCCATACATAGCCCATGTCACACATGAGCACCTGTGGACCAGCCCTCAGGCTCCCGCTTGAAGGCAACTCGATGCTGGAGGACACGAAGGAGGAGTCCCAGTATTTCCTCCAAAAACATCTCGCAGTAGGCCCAAGCCTCGGCCCCAGCTAAAGTTATCCATCTTTCCTGAACCACCATCCAACAATTCCATGACTAAGTAGCTCGTTTCACACTCTGCAAACATCAACACAGCCCATCTATGTCTGGGACAGAACTCTCTTCCAGATTATTTAATTTTTAAGCTCTAGTCTATAAAGGAAGGGTCAGCAAACTTTTCTGTAAAGGGCCAGATAGGAACTATTTCAGGCTTTTCCAGCTCTTCAGCCTCCGTTTCCATTCAGCTGCATTGTAGCATGAAAGCAGCCATAGGCAATATGTAATTAACTAGGTACAGCTGGGTTTTAGTAAAAATCGATTTACAAAAACGAGTGTCAGGCAGATTTTGCCCCTGGACTATGGTTTGCTGACTAGGATAGATGTTGTTTTGGTTTTTATTTATTTATGTCCTCCATAAATAAAGAAGTAAGAGAGACAGAGATGGAGAGACTACACCCCCAACAGGGTACAGATACAGTCATCCATCCCCAGCCTCAGCCAGCACTGGCTCATGGGTATGAGCATGCCCAGTGTACTCAGGGAGGTCTCCAGACACAAACCAGGAACCTCCTCATGTGGATCAGCCTCACGGAGCATCATGTTTTACTGCTACACCGCTGTCGGGCCCTTGCGGCAGATATTGATGTGAAGGAATGCTCTCGCTCATGGGTAACAATTAAAGAGTGACCAGAAGCTCCTAGTCATATAGGGTAGTGCACATGCAGGTGTGCACACACACACACGCACACACGTCCACACAGACTCCACGGAGCCAATTAGCTACGCCAGCGCAATGATTGACACAAATGTCACACTTGGTATGATGTATATGTGTCTATGTAATATTTATTCATTTGATGGGTGACAGGATGGATGTGGTGGAAGCATGTACCACAGGGGAGCAGAACCGTGACCACTACAAGTGGAAGATCACCGTAAATTCTCTCCCGGTGGCTTGGGGATGTAGTTCTAAATGTTTATCTGAACAATAGCAGCTAATACTTTTGAGCCTGTGATAGATCACAAAGAAGCAAGAAGTTACTCCTGGAAAGACTTGGTTTCACCAAAGCTGGGAAGAGGACCAGGCTCCCCCCACCTTCCCTGGGGAGTAAACAACCTCACCCTCCAGACCACCTTGGGCAGGCGAGACATTAAGCATGATACAGAAAGGAGGGGCTTCAGCACTTTACTGTAAAGGATCTTTTTTGTTCTCTCAAAAGGGTTTTCCTGGACTCCATTTACTTTTGCACACAGGAACATAAAATGAAAGAAAACAAGGGCCCCCAGGTGTTCCAGTAGCAATTTACCATTCATGTGTTGAATGACGTCGATAAAAACTTGGAAGTGAGGTCATTTCCTGTTGGGAGAGCCACCTGGGGGCAGGGATGGTTGGGGGCATGTCTCTTCCCAGGCCTCTGACAGTACTTCCCTCAGGCTATCCAGTGGTCTCGGGAAAGTTCCTGGGTGGGCCTGGCTGCCGACAGCACTGGGGTTTCCTAAACAGCCCCCAATGGCAGTGGTATCCTGAGGTCCGGCATTGAGAGCATTCTTGTGGCCCCCTCACTTCTCCCCTGAAGCCGGGGAATCCTTGAAGACCTCGGCATCTTCTGGCTTAAGGGACCCTGCAAAGTGCCTCAGATGAACTTCTTCGGGCTGAACAGAGTGCCTATCTCGAGTACTTGCATCTCTTAAAAGGGGAACCAGGGCAAAATTCTTCCAGTTTCTCCCTGAAACTGAAGGAGGAAACATCATTACTACCTTGGGTGCAAACAAATAAACATTTCGTTTTTGACGTCAGAAGTTCAAGGAGGCCCAGGCATGCAGCTGCTTCCTGAGGCACCTGGACTGGCGCAATTTTCTCTTCCCTCAGCTGCTCAAGGAGTCTTGTCCACCTTGATGGCCACTTTTATTCTTTTCCTCCTCCCCACTGGGCTTGCTTGTGGCCTCATGAGAGTCCATCGCTTTCCTCTCTCGGCCTCCATTTCCTTCCTGCCCAAGCAGGAGGGAGAGAAGGGCTCCACAGAGCCATACCGGGGCCTGCCCCATGAGCGGCTCAGCACAGCATCAGCCCCAGGGTGAGGAACACCAGCCAAAGAGTCAGGGTGTGGAGTCCTCTCCCCCAGGGAAGCATAGTGACACTAGGCCGTGGGCGGGGACCTCCATTGTGGCCTAAAACCCCAGGAAGTTCCTGAGGAAGTCCCAGGTGGCACCCACCACAGCCACCTCCAGCCTTCTGGCCATCTCAGAAAAATGGCAGCCAAGAGGAAAAGCTGTGCTTCCTCCTTCCATTTGCCAGAGCCCTGGCCAGCCAAGCCTCTGCTGGGCCCCTTGGATCTGATCTATCCAGAAAACCAATTCAACATCTCCCAGACTCCGGCCAAGACCCAGGCTGCTCTGCCAGTGTCCAACATGTGGCTGCATTTCAGAGCAAAAGGAATGCCCGAGGCTGGTCCCACCATGACCACTCCAGCTGAGCTCTCCAGGTCCTGGTGCTTCGCCCAGGCCTGGAAGCTGACACAGGCCCATCTCCCAACCCCAGTCTGAAGGAGGAGCCCTCAGGAAATCCAGACATAGCCACAGGAGGGCTCCATGGAGAGACAGACCCAGTGCTCCAGACTACCATCTATGGGCTGACAGAGAGGTGGGGACGTCCAGCCCCAGCAACTACTTGGCCTACCCTTGTCCAAGGCCTTCAAAGGAGGCATGAGACCTCCAGTGCCCAATGTTCACAGTTCTGATGTCCAAACTCCTTGCCCTGGGCCAGCACTCTGCTGAGCACTTTTGGAGCCCCTCACCCCTGCCCAGTCACCTGCACTGCTTGGTGGGGAGATGTCCTTGCTAACTGAACTACCTGACTGGTCAGCATGGAGCTTCTCCTGCTACAAAGCTGGGTAGAGAAGCAAAATTCATAGGAAATATTCACTAATTAGTTTACATGTGCAACCGGGGGACCTTCATCCATCCCCCAATGGTGTCCTAATTAACACTGCTATGTGATCTCTCTTACCCAGTCAATGTCTTTATTTATACGAGGGGTCTTAAATAACCTGATGAAGGGCCAGTTGGTGGCATGGAGGTTAAGGAAGCTGGATCCACATGGCCAGTCAAGAGGTTTGAGTCTCAGACCCTGGGAGCTGGGTCAGGGAGGCCTGCATGGAGTGGGAGGTCCATAAGGCTTCTCCCACACAGCATCAAGCCACCAGCCAGGGAGGCCCCTCCATGCCACAGCACCCACCCCTCATACCTCACCTCTGCCTGACCGCAGGGAGAAGCTCAGAGTGCGCTTGACACCCTCGCAGTTGCCTGGGTCTTCATTGATGATGCCCACGTTGGTGTTCCAGGTGGTCCAGTTCACCTCGTCCACCCTGCGGGGTGAGGGACCAGGGGAGCAGGAGCAGGTGGCTGAGGGCCATGCCTGGCTTTCCCAGCCAACCCTGGAAGCCCGTAGGTGAGGATGCAGACAGAGCTGTGGGGAGGGCAGAGAAGGCCCTGAACCCCATCCCTGAAGATGGGTTCTCCAACCACATCAAACTTCTGTTATTGGGTTCCTGGTTCACTGGATGACCCGCTTCTGAACACTTCAAATTTTCCAGTATTTAGCATTTGGGTCCCATCAGCTAAGATCTAAGCTGGGTCCCCTATGCCCACAGCTAGCCTTGGGTATCCCCATACCTACAGCTGGCCTTGGGAGAGTTCCCTGCACTTGTGGTGGGTGCAGAGGCCTGCAGCATGCCCTGTGCCATGGCTGAGCCCGGAGCGCCCCATGTTTTGACATTACCTGAAGCACCACCTGTAGTCGTCCTTGCCGTCAGGTGTGTAACCCACCTGCAGCAGCTTGCCCGAGCGGAAGGCCTTCCTCATGCACTTGAGGAAGCTCTTCTCTGTGTCCAGGATGGTGATGGCTCTCTGCAGGCAGACACAAAGGGCAGAGGAGCAGAAGCTCATCCAGGGGCCACCCAGCCACCAGTGCTGGGCACCAGGATCAGCCTCCCTGGGCTCCCTCCCAGCCGCAGACATCTCCCAGTGGGACCTCCAGGGCCCTCTGCATCCTGGTGGTGCACACCCCATGGAAGGGGCTCAGCCCATCCATCCCCTGCCCGGGCTCTGCTGGTGCCCTTTGGGTCTGGGCAGGGCCACCCCGTGAGTGATTCCCAGACCCTTTCCTGGGGAGCTCACAGAGGTAAGCACATGGCCTTCACAGGGGGTCTGCCTGGCTGAATCCTGACTCTGGGGCTTCCTAACTGTGTGGCCTTGAACCCAGGCTCCTAACTTCTCCGTGCCTCAGTGCCCTCATCCAAAAATGGACAGTAATAGAATACACCTCATAGGATTGTTGTGAGGAATAAATGAGATCAGGCAAATAAGATGCTTAGAATAGTGCCTGCCGGGGACCAGCAGTTAAAATAATGGCTATGTCGCTGGACTCCCACGTAGTAGACCACGGTTCGCGTCCCAGACCTGGTGGCTTAAACTCACATCGTGTGCGTGTGTGTGCGTGCCCAAGATCCCGAGAAGAGACTGGAGGAGAAGGGATAGGGATTGCAGAGTGGCCATCCCCCCTGGGGGGTGATTTCTCGCTTTCTATCTCTCTGTCTCTCTTTCTCTCTGTCTGGCGAGCACATGCGCCCTATAGCAAAAACCTCTTTAAAAAAAAAAAAAAAGAATAGTCCCTGTCTTAGTGCTACGGGATAAGAAGGGTACTTGTATTATGGTCGGGAGGCAGGCGTGAACCACATGGCTGTGGAAGGCAGCTGCCAGGTCCTGCCCGTACTGGCTGCTCCCCTGCATCTGGCCTCTAGTACCTAAACCCTAGGCCAGGTTCCTCTATGAGGGACACCCCATGGGGCTGAGCTCTCCATTCCCTTTCCTTGGGACCATGTAGCCCACCGTCAAGCACAGTGTCAAAGAACACCAGCTGAGCTAGTCCAACACCACCACACAGGTGACCTCAGTAGGTGGCCTGCAGGAAAGGAGTCACGGAGTCAGGTGCTGCTGCAGGATCGCCAGGCCTGGCGGGGCTTCCTGCCCCCTCCTCACATCCTGCAGGGGCTCGCATGCTCAGCGGTGCAAAGCAGCAGACAGAGCGGCTGCCACCCCACTGGCTGCACACCTCACTGGCCAGCTCACCTGCAGCTTCCAGATGTTCATGCTCTCCTGCGCGATCTTGTTGACGGTCTCACCCATGAGGGCAATGAGCATGTTGAGCAGGAGGATGTAGGTGAGAATCACATAGGCCAGTAAGAGGATGACGAAGACAGCCTTGAAGTCATAGTTTTCGGTGAACTCCAGGTCACCCATGCCGATGGTGAACTTGAACAGCTCCAGGCACGTGGAGTACAGGCTGTTGTAGGAGCTGTCTCTGCAGCCAGGCCCTCGCCATCTGTGCATCGTGGACTCAGGTGATGTTCTGTTTCTGTCTCCATCTTCGATCAGCGTCACCACCGCTGTAGGACAGGGGGAGAGGGGGTGCTGCCGATCAGAAGCAAGACCCCAGGTTCCCTAATGTACACTCTCATCCCAGGATGGATCTGCAACAAGAATGCTGCTCAGCCATGAGGCAGCTCTGTGTGTGTGTGTGTGTGTGTGTGTGTGTGTGTGTGTGTGTGTTTTAAAGCACCCCTTCTTCAAAACCATCAGAAAATTTTCATAATATATTGTCTTGTTATAAGGAGACTATGTTTTCTTCATCTGCTGGGGGAAAACTGTTAAACAAGTCTATATATGTGCAGTGATAATACAGCCACTCTTGCACAGTGCACAACCTGTTCAACCTTCCATGTCAGCCCTGGATCCACACTCACCGTGTCCATCACGCTCTGCCTAGGTCCCTTAGAGAGCCACTCTAGAAAAATGGGCACTGAGCAGCTCACAGCAGGATGGGCTCTTTGGCCTTTATATCCAGAAACTGGAATCCACACCTGTTAGGACCCTCCCAGTCACAATGGCCCATCCTTCCCAGAGATTTCAACACAAACTGCAGGGTGAGGACAGGGGAGGGTATAAGTGAACCATGTAGCTGCAGGACCCAGATGAGGGTCAAAGGAGAGCCATGTGCTCAAAACATTATGAAGGCATGGTGAAAGGGCATGAGAGCTAGCGAGAAAAGGCTCCCAATGACCACATTTCTGACAATCTGAGCATCAGAGTAAATGATACTAAGTATTATAACCCATTTAACAAAGTGAGAATCGGCGGCCATGAGACCGTCCTGGTGTAAATAAATCAACAAACGTCAGAGAATAGAAAGCTCTTTCTTATAACAAAAATGCCAGCTAATCAATGTGGAAGAAATGAAGGAGTTAGAAAACCATCCTTTGGGGACCAACAGATGACATAATGGTTACGTCTCTGGACTCTCATGTAGTCTACCCTGGTTCAAGTCTCAGACCTGGTGGCTTAAAACTCACACCAAGAAAAGACAAGAACATTCTCAGATAAACAAAATCTGAAGGAATTTACCAGCACCAGACCAGATCTCCAGGAAGTTCTGAAGGGAGTGCTATACCAGGAAAATTAAATACAGACACACAGAAATGAGAGTTCAAAAACTAAGAAAATGGCCAAGTTAATCATAGGGACAAGTATGGAGTTGAATATTATATCCCAGAATTTAATCAGAAAGATTGGATCACAACAGAAGATAAAGTACATGAGACTGAACTGGTGAAATAGCATTTTATGACTTCTGAGTAAAACATTGATTTTCTTCTAGGTTTTGTTTTCCAGTTTTAAGGATTTTTGTCCCATCTTGATCTGTCAATAAGTTCATGTACCTACTATTTGAACAGAATCCTAACCTGTTCCTGGCTTTAAGTTTTAAGCAGAGTTCCTTAGCATTTCTTTGATTTATTAAAGTTAAAACTGCTTTCCTTGAAATTACCAGCTGAACTTGCTATTGAAAGTAGATTATTTAAGAAATTGTGTGATCAATAAAATGTGGGGAGAAAAGAAATGAAAAACAACTGTAGACACCAGAGATAGTGTGGGAAGGGGGTGCGAAAGGACTGAGGATCAGAAATAGGGGTAAAAAATATATATATACATATATATTAAACTAGAAATGGAAAATTATTGATGATAACGTGCATGATTAAGCCACTATGTATTATACTCTGGATGGGAAATCACATTTTATATGCTGTGACGATGCTTAGGGAATGAATGTAAATTAATTTTTCAAAATGTTTCAAAAAATAAATAAATTTTAAAAATTAATTTTAAAAATTATATATAAGTAAAAAAAAAAAGAAAGAAACTCACACTGAGTGTGTATCTGTGCATACTCAAAATCCCAAGAGGAGAATGGAGGAGAAGGAATTGCTGCATGGCCATTCCCCTGGGCGGTGGGGGCTGATTTCTCACTTTCTGTCATTAGATTGGGTTGTCAGAAAAGTCATGATACATTTTTGCATAGCAAACATGGAAAGGATACGTCATGACTTTTCCAACAACCCAGTAGGATTAAGCAATTCAGGTAAAAATTGTCAATAGATGCTGAAACTACCAAGTGAAAGTCGGATGAGAAATAGGAGAGTGAGTGGCCTAGTATCAAGAACCTTCTCACAAATTATCGATTACAAAAAGAGACATAGTAACATCACAGTGTTAATGGATCACTGGCTGATCCATCAAAACCAAGTCATCAAAGTTAACATCACCAGAACTGGTAGAAACGGACATCACATGACTCCTGATAAAATGCACATTATTGCTTGGACATTCTGAGCAAAAATGCACACTTGAATCTAATCCTGAGGAAACATCAGATATACCCAAATTGAAAGACACCTTACAGAACAAATGGCCTTTACTCACTAAAAATGCTAAGGTCCTGGGGCCAGCAGGTGGCATAATGGTTAAGGCTCTGCACTCCCACATGGTTGACTACAGTTCAAGTCCTAGACTCAGCAGTTTAAAAGCCATGCCAGTCACCTGTGCATGCATGCCCAAAATCCCAGGAGGAGAATGGAGATGAAAGGATTGCAGCACGGTCATTTCCTCTGGGGGGAGGGGTATTTCCCACTTTCCTTCTCACTGTCTCTCTCCAGCTAGCATAAGTGCCTAAGGCAGGGGGTGGGTGGGGGGAGGGGGGAGAAGAAGGAGAAGAAAGAAAAAAAAAAAGCCCTAAAAAATGCTAAGGTCACAGAACACAGGGAAAGACTGAGGAACTGCTCCCAGTTAAAGGAGACTAAAGAGGCATGACAACAGGATGCAACACGCGATGCAGAATTTTCATTTTCCATAACAGACGTGATCAGAACAATTGGAGACATCTGAATAACAGCTTTAGGTGAGCTAATAGTGTGGTCAGTGTAACTTCTCTGATCCTGATCACTGTGCTGTTTATGTAAGAGGATGCTCTTGTTTTTAGGAAATACTGGAGCATTTAGTGGTAAAGGGTGGATCCTGTCTGCAATTTATTCTCAGCCTTTTCTTTAAGTGGAGGAGGTGGGGAGAAGGGTACAGTGAAACGTGGCAAAATAGGGGCAATCTGGATAAGGAGTACAGAGAAGCTATTTGTACTGCTCTTACAACTTTCCTCTAAGTCTGAAATAATGTCCAAATAAAACATTAAAAAAAAAAAATAGACACAGGACCAGCAGGTAGCACGGTGGTTAAGGCACTGGACACTCCCACATGGTCAACCATGCTTCAAGTCCCAGACCTGGTGGCTTTCTCTCTCTCTCTCTCTCTCTCTCTCTCTCTCTCTCTCTCTCTCTCCCCCTCCCTTCCTCCCTCCCTCCCTCTGTGTGTGTGTTTGTGTGTGTGTGTGTCTGGTCAAATTAAAATAAATGAGTGAATAAATAAAAAAATAAATAATTTTTAAAAAATAATAATGGGTAGGACCAGCAGATAGCATAATGGTTATGCTGCTGGACTCCCACATAGTCAACTGCAGTACGAGTCCCAGATCCGGCGGCTTTAAAACTCATGCTGGACACATGTGCATGACTACTCAAAATCCCAAGAGAAGAATGGAAGAGAAAGGATTGCAGTGTGGTCATCCCCCTGGGAGAGTGATTTCTCACTTTTTGTCTCTCTGTCTCTCCAGTGAGTGCACACACTTATAGCAAAAAAATCTAACAACTACAATACACACACACAAAAAGAGCCAAATACATCTATACTAGAAGCAAGCAGCACTTCCTGCCCCCGTGATTACCTAAACCATTTTATGAGTCCCATTTCCAAGTTCTCAAGCTCATTGCATATGTCCTCTGTCCCATCCAGACACCCACCTGTCCCCCGACCTGGCTCCTCCTCACCTACCCCTGCCCGTGCCCTCAGGAAGTGAGGTGAGCAGAGCCCCACCCTCCTACCAGCCCCACCCAGCCCATCACCTGTGGAAAACCCAAACAGGAAAACCATGTAGACGAACATGAAACGGCACAGGTCTCTCAGGATCATCTGCGGGAGAGAGCAGGCTTGTCAGAGCCACGTCCAGACCGAGGAGCAGCCCAAGGAAGGGCCTCAGCCTGGGGGTTAATCTCAAGCCAGGTTGAATACAGAGCATGCAGGAAGGTTTGGTTTGGTAGTTTTCAACTCAGTGCCACAAAGGAGTCGTCTGCCCTGCCCTCCTCCATGGGCTTTGTTCTGCCTGTGAGAGGGAGGCCTGGTAAGCCGAGGGGTCAAGTTCAGGGGAGCTCTCTCAGGGTCAAGGCTAGTGGCTTGATTTTGGGGGTTGAGGTGGTTGGCTAGAGTTGAACTAGCACCTCCCCAACTCAGAGAGTACGGTCAGTTTGTGGGGCAGGGTCTCACACAGCCATGAGGTCAGCAGGGTCCGGAGCACCCACCTTCTCGATCATGACGGCATAGATGCCCATCTGCTGAAAGCCACGGGTGTAGTAGAGCATGTTCATCCAGCCTATGGCCAGCGAGAACACCATGCAGGCCACATACTCCTTGAGATGGATGAAGTACAGCACCACCGTCCCCAGCATGAACAGTGACTGCACGAAGCTGCAGGTGGAGGGACAGGCAGCTCTGTCTACCACACTCCACAAACGAGAGTCCCCCACTGCTAGCCATGCGGACAACTGAGGGTGCTGTCCTGCTCCCTTCTGCCCATGCAGTCTCCATGGGAGCAACATCGCCCCCAAGGGGCAAAAATTTGTTAGGGGGCACAAAATTTTATTTTCTTATGTATGAAGCATAGGCCTGAATATATACAGTCCAGAAATGGATACACAGCACATTGTGGCATTAAACCCTCATGGTGTAGAGGGGACAATTAGAAAAACCAATGTTTAAAAAGGCAATAACAGGGGCTAGTAGGTGATGTAGTGGTTAAGGTGCTGGACTCCCACGTGGTTGACCATGGTTCAAGTCCCAGACCCAGTGGCTTGAAACTCACACCAGGCGCATGTGTGTGCATGCCCAAAATTCAGAGAGGGGAATGGAGATGAGAGGATTGTGGTATGGACATCCCCCTTGCGGTGGAGAGGGGTGATTTCTTGCTCCCTGTTTCTCTCGCTCTCTCTGTTTCTCTAGTGAATATATGTACCCTATAAGAAAAATCTCTCTCTCAAAAAAAGGCAATAATGAAAAAAGCCTGAGAAGCACTGCTTTAGCCCCAATCTCCTTCCTGACTTATCTCCTAGTGCTCAAGGGTGTGTGTGTGTGTGGGGGGGGTCCTTTTGTAATATCTGAAGGCATTTTTTATTATCAAGACTAGGGGTGGGAAAGAACTGCTGGCACATACACATTCTACAACACACAGAACAGCCCTGCCCTACCACAGCTAAGAGTTACCCAGTTCCAAATGTGGACAAGGCCAAGGCTGAGAAACCCTGCCTTCAACATTGGAGACTCTGGGCAGGCTCTGGGGCCTACTGGTTAAAGGTGCCTGATCCTACATGGCCAACTCTGTGGTTTCAATCCTTGCTCCAGTGGCCTAAAAAGCACGCCAGACACATGTGTGTGCATGCCCAAAATCTGGACAGGATGGAGAAATGGAGAAGGGATTATGGCGTGAACACAGCCCACTGGGGATTTTTCTCTCTCTGTCTTTCTCTGTCTGTCTCTGTTTCTCTCTGGCAACCACATTCGCCCTCTGACAAAACTAAGGGGAAAAAATACAATTAAAAGAGAGAGAGAGAGAGAGATTGGAAATTCCTCGAAGGACTTCCTGGAAGGAAACATGTTTATTTCATCTCCGTACTCAGTGCCAACCCAGTGACTGGCCGATGGATGGACCAATGGGTGGAGAAGTGAGCAAGGCTACCTCTCACTCAGACTGGAGGGCACACGAGCCCACAGCAGTGTTTGTCCTCGCCCAGTTCCTGGTACACAGATTCTCGCACGGAGTAGACTCTTAGTGTTCATCCATTCAGCAAATACTGAGTGCCTTTCATCATTCCTTCCACGTGTCTACTGAGGTCCTACTATGTGAGTGAGCCAAGACCAGGCTGGGAGTAACCAAGGGAAGGGCCGGGACTACTTGAGCCTGGGCGTTAAGCTGACCACTGCCACTTCAGCCCTGGGCCAAAAGAAGCACAAGACCCAGTATCACTTACAAGAGCATCTCACTGTAGCTGTCCACAAACAGGGTCTTCATTGACGGCCGCCTCTGCAGGAAATACTGAATCTACAGGTAAGCAGAGTGGTGGCAGGAAATGTTAGCCGAGCTCGATGGTGAGAACTCAGAATGCTTCCTACATGGGGTCTCAGCGGGGACCCTGGCGTGTTCAACAGCAAAGGTCACGAAGAGTGGGACAGCATGGGTCAGGCTAACAAGGTCGTCTTATGTGACCCCGGCAGGAGAGATTTTTTAAAATACAGAGTGGGATGACAAAAGTACTTCTTCTGGAACTAAGGGCCAGAAGGAAAATCATCAGAATGTTATCAATTGCTATCATCGAATGAGAGGATTGGAGATTTTTTTCTTCTTTCTAGTTGGTACTTTTTTTCTTAATTTTCTTTATCTAAGGATAACAGTGAAAATTCTTTGAGCGAGCCTCCATCGGACTAAGCCACCAGATTAAACACTGGCGTCTGGGAGGTCCTCTCTGGGACGCCCACACCCTCTGCTCCCTCCCACAAGCGAATCCTGCATTTCCCACAAGCGAATCCTGCATTTCCCACAAGCGAATCCTGCATTTCCCACACACGCTTCTATGCCAGCTGCACTTGCTACTGTGGCCCGGCACTTCTTCTCATGTAAACCACGATTGTGAAAAGAAAGGCAGATGTGTCTGTGAAGACAACATCCCCAGGATTCGGAAAGACTCCCTACAGGTGGAGCACTAGGGGGAAAAATGGGTATAACTTTGACCAAAAAGATTGGCGATAAAAAAAATTCACAATTATCTCCTATTCTGCATTCAGATCTCTTTGTCCTTATTTAAGTTCTTGTTCCTCTTTAAAGAAGCTGGAGCGGGAACCAGCAGTTAGCGTAATGGCTATGTCGCTGGATTCCCACATAGTCGACCGCGGTTTGTGTCCCGGACCCGGTGGCTTAAAACTCACGCCGGGCGCATGTGCGTGCGTGCCCAAGATCCCGAGAGGAGAATGAAGG